ATATATAAAAATGTGGCTGAGCCTGCTCCCGAGACGCTCGCTTTTTCCCACATAGAAGTCCAGTCTGTTGTTTCCTTCCATTCTTTACCCACGTTTAAAAAAAAAAAAATAGCAGTAACGCGAGGGAGAGACGAGAACGGAAGCTTTATTCTGCCCAAAATTAAATGGATCTGCCAATCCTGCTGGTAACTTCACGCCGTTTTCCAAAATACCCTCTAGATTTTATTTTCTTTTTCCCCACCGATTGCCACGACAGTTCTAGCAATACTGTGGGTTGTTGTTTTTTTTGCCGTTGGCACCATCTTGTACGTTGGTCGCCTTCTGCAGTTATTTGTGCGCTGTGACACCGCTCAGCGAGTCTTGGTGTTGCCAAGAAGAGATGTGAAATCCAGAAAACAAAACTGCAAACACACAGCGAGGGTATTTGTGTGTCTGAGCCCTCGTTTCCCAGTAAAATCACCGATGCCTACAATGTAGGGGAGGTACCTTCCTTTAATTTGTCATTTTTGGGGGGGGGAACGTGCTGCCTTCTCTTCTCTCTCAGTAGATTCACAGTGAGAATTTGAGTTATTTTGGGAAAAAATACCACAAAGGGCAACACTTTCAATGTAATTTTAGCCCCGATGTTTCTATCGTGCCCTTAAATAAACTTAGAGCGCCTGGTGTTGCCTGATTATCTAATGAGGGACAGTTTTTTTGCAAGCCCTTATAAATCAGGGGCACAAGAGTTTGGAGACTGGCGTTGCTGCCCAAAAATCATCGTTAGAAAATCCTTATGGGTTTATAATGCAAAAGGAGATCAAATCCGTTTTTCAGATTGTGGTAGCCCTACGTTGACATAAAAGCATGAAAAATGAGCTCATGCATCCCCAAATGAACTATTTTCAGAAACCAATTGAGATGTTAAGTAAAATGTAAGAATTATCTTTAAAAAAATAATAAATCCCTGTACAGTTTTCCATCATGCTACTCTGGTGATGAAGATGACTCTAATAGAAAGCGAATACAATACAAAGCTTTCCTTGATGCTTAGAAAATGGACAAATTAAGTAGGAAAAAAAGGAAATTAGGAGAAAAGAGCAATTTGGAGAATGAGCACAGGGTAGCTCAGCTGGCTGAGGGTGATGACCTCATGTCATTAATGATGCTGGGGGGGCGCAAGAACCTGCTGTGGTATCTCAGCTGAAGAAGTGAAGTCCTCTGGCTCAGGTTTTTGTGTCGGCAGCTATCGCTGTGCACAAAACAAAAGCGACTCGCTTAACGATTTGTTTCCACACCAGGATCAGGAGCGGGCGGACAAGCTGCAGAAGTTGCAAGCGGAAAGGGAGGAGAAGGGCAGGCTGAAAGAAGAAGCGAAAGCGGCCAAAGAGCGAGCCAAGGAGGAGGCGAAGAAGAAGAAGGAAGAAGAGAAAGAGTTGAAAGAGAAGGAAAGGCGGGAAAAGAAAGAAAAAGAGGAGAAGGAAAAAGCTGAGAAGCTGCGAGTGAAGGAGGAGAAACGCAAGGAGAGGCAGGAAGCTTTGGAGTAAGTGGCTTTGGTTTCCGGGGAGTAGCCTCTTTGTCACGGGGTGTATTTTAAGCGCTTGAAAGACTCCATATGGCAGCCCCGGGTCTCAGCCGGACCTTTTGCTTGCAGGCTGACCTGGGCTTCTGGTTTGAAATGCCTGAAAAGAGCTGTCATGCTCCACTGAGTTTTCCCTTCATGACCAGTCTTGCTTGTACTTTTGCAACTCCTTCATAACACCATAAATGCACTCTCCTGGTGTAGAGGGAAACCTGAAGCAGCCTGGCCACTTTGTGGCTAAAACAGGTCAATATTTGCTCTGGAAAGAATGAAGAGAGTCTTCTGTACGCTTAACCAAGTAGGGTCCTTAACTGAATTCATAGATTGTCTTCTTGCCTGGCATGATGGGGTTTTAGTCAAGGTCTGGGGCTTCTCGCCTCTTCCTCGGTGCAGAGAAACACTTTGCAATTTGTGACAATTAAAACGAACTTTGTATTAAAGGGCGAAGCTCGAGGAGAAGAGAAAGAAAGAAGAGGAGAAACGGTTAAGAGAGGAGGAGAAGGTAAATGCTTTCTCTAGCTGGTCCCTTCAATTCTTTTGCTACGGGGACACGAGGCTGATGGGCTCCTTGGCACCCTTTGCAGTGGGGCTCCTGCGGTTCTCCCTGCTGGGGAGGGAGCACGGCCCTTTGGGGTGCAGCCAGTCCGCTCTGATCTGGGGGCACAGGTTTGTTACTTTTGCATGTGTTGGTGTCTCTGCTTTTCACCTGTTAAATGTCTTTCCTGCATTTGGTTTTTTTTGCTGCCTGTGCGTGACCTCTGTCCTTTGTCTTTGCTATGACACTGCAATCCTCGTAGGTGTGTTAGAGAAGACAATTAGTTTTCTGTTGAGTAACAGCAGCTGGTAAATGACGATGCTGTGCTTTATACCTCACCAGATTTGAGGTTGGGTCATGCATGAGCTCACTGAGAATTACGAGGTCTTGTCTTACCTTGGTGTCTATAATTTTCATTTCAATTCTGATTTTAGCGTATTAATGCCCAGAAAGCAGAAATTACGAGGTTCTTCCAGAAACCAAAGACTCCACAAGCCCCGAAGGTGAGGTATTGCCATTCCTGTGCTTTATTGGTCTTTCACTAGTTGTCTTCTAGCAGAGACACCCATTTCCTCGTGATTTGTCCTTTAGAGCTTTTTAGGTGGACAAAGCCATTACTATTTCTTACTTCCTAATTTCAAAAATGTGGAGGATTTGAAAAGAAGTCTGTGCAGAGCAGAGACTGCAAAAAAAGATTGTAGCTGCTTTAGAAAGAAAGAAAGAAATCTCAGCTCTGTCTTCTGCATTGGCTGTGAAGAGCCAGATTCCCTTTAAGAAGATCTGAAGTCTCAGATGGGAAGGGCTTAACCTAAATCTTCACTCAAACCCCAGCCCCTGGTTTGAGGTTTGTTGTGTACCTTGAGTGCGTTGGTGCTGCAGTTTCTCAGGCGTTGAGACCCTAACGATCCTCACTTCGTATTTCAGATTCTTGCTGGCTCCTGTGGCAAGTTTGCTCCTTTTGAAATTAAGGAGAACATGGTCTTAGCTCCCCTCTCTCGTATTGCGCTGGATCCGGACTTCTTAGACCAGCTGGACAAGCTCCTGCGTGCACAAAACAGCGACGTTTCTTTCTTGAGGGAGCTGAAGTGCCGTAAACCACGTAAAACCGGACCTACTTTTGTCAAAAACAGCACTGACGAAGTCAACAGGTTGGTCTGTGTTTTGGGGAGTTCCTTCCCTTTATGGAGTGAACTACAGGATGGTTTGGGGCTCGTCTGTCCTCTGTGTGACTTGTTTCCCTCTTGGGTAGTTCAAAAAAGGTAACGTACCGACACCGAAGCCCGAGGGTTGTAGTTGAGGAGGGAGGTGGCTTGTCTGGAACCCGCGTGTCCTCACGCACGCGTCGGGAGAGGCTGCTCTAATGACCTCAGGTGCTGAAGGTGGTCTCCTCTTTTCACAGCGACGTGGTGGTAGTGGATAACTGCAAAACAGACGCTGTTCCCGAAAGGGGGCAGTTTGGTAGGATGAAACTCCTGCAGTTTTGTGAGAATCACCGCCCTGCCTACTGGGGCACGTGGAACAAGAAAACCGCTGTGATCCGGCCCAGGAATCCGTGGTCAAAGGACAGTGTAAGCGCCTCGCGGGGAGCGTAGTTGGGTTCTTTTCTTTCTTTATGCTCCTGAAGCGAATCTGTGTTTGGCCAAGTTCACCTGTCTTTTGGGATTTCTGATCCACTCGCATGTCCCTGCTTGTCACCAAGTTTTGAAACCCCGAGTGGGGTCATGCCGTTTCTGTAAATGACCTGAAAGCATGTTGGTGTTTCTTCTAGAAACTCCTGGACTACGAAGTAGATAGTGATGAAGAATGGGAAGAGGAAGAACCTGGAGAAAGTCTCTCCCATAGCGAAGGGGTGAGGATTCCGTGTGCTGAACGACAGCTTTCTGAACCAGTTTCACTTGCCGGTGTCGTTTCTAATAGGCAGCGTTTATTTTTTAGGATGATGAAGAGGAGGGAGAAGACGAAGATGATGACGATGGGTTTTTTGTACCCCATGGGTACCTATCTGAAGATGAAGGAGTGACAGAAGTAAAAGTGACCCGGCTGCCACTGGCTTCCCACCTGGGTTTCCAATGAATTGCCTAATAACTATTGGCAGAGGAAGAAAGCGCCGTGGTCTTGGCAGCGGTGAAACTCATCTCAGATCTGCATGGTTCAGGAGCAGACATCTGTAGCTCAGAGCAACAAGCTAACAAAGCTGGGTTGAAAAAGCTTTTGTTTTCCCTGGAACAGTTATATCAAGTTCTTTCTCGCTTGCGGCTTTAGGAGTGCGATCCAGAAAATCAGAAGGTTCGTCAAAAGCTGAAAGCAAAGGAGTGGGATGAGCTGCTGGCCAAGGGCAAGAGGTTCCATGTTCTACAGCCCCTGAAAATTGGCTGCGTCTGGGAAAGCGCGGGGAACAACGGTGGCACGGACGCGGACCTGAAGGTTCTCCAGCAGTTCGCGGCGTGTGTCCTGGATTCTCCTGTCACAGAGGAAGAACAGCAGATACAGAAATGTAGCAAAAAAAGAGTGAGAGATCAGCAAAGTAAGACCTTGAGAAGGTTTAAACAGTGAAACAGTTGTGCTTACGTGCCGTTGCGCTCTGCTTTGGAGAGAATAGATTTTTGTGCTGAGCATCAAATTCAGAATGACTTATGACGAGTCTGAAATCCAAGGAATCTCTGAGTTCTTGCTTACGTGCCGTTGCGCTCTGCTTTGGAGAGAATAGATTTTTGTGCTGAGCATCAAATTCAGAATGACTTGCTTATGACGAGTCTGAAATCCAAGGAATCTCCGAGTTCTTGGCAAGGGGTCTTCTGGCGTTGAGTCCAGTACGCCCTGAGTTACGCTCTCCAGGAGCTCTGGTTTTAGATAATCCAGGCAGTCAAGCCAGCCAGACTAGAGCAGACTCAGACTTAGGAGTGTGCACTGGAAGTCACCCATTTATTGTTCAGGGGAAGGGAGGATTTAATTTGTGTGACAGGTTTCAATACCGAGTATCTCCTGTGCCTGATTAACACAAGGCTGCGAATAATGGCTGTAAAAGCTAGAGCAGGGGTCGAAGCTTTTGTTATCCACAGGGGTGACTTTTCGACATCAAATATAGCTCCTGTTACAATCTAAAATTAATCTTGACCTGCCTGAATTCTTTCTGGAGCTCACGTACTGATAGGTTGTGTCAGCTTGGCTTTTCTTGACCTTTAAACTGTTTTTTCCCCTACGCCAACCCCTGTTCATCCTTTCTATTCCTGCAGTCCTCGGCCAGCTTCTGCCGCTGCTGCACGGCAACGTGAACGGGAGCAAAGTGATCATCCAGGAATTCCAGGAGTGCTGCCGGCAAGGACTGCTCAGCGAGGTGACCGCAGGGGCCGACTGCAGCGACGCCAGCCCCCACGCCTCGCGGCCGCAGACGCCCATCGGTGAGGACAGCGGCGTCCCTTCCAAAGCCAGGCTAAAACGCATCATTTCTGAGAACTCTGTGTACGAGAAGAGACCCGAATATCGGATGTGCTGGTACGTCCACTCCGAGGTGCTGAAGAGTTTTCATCAAGAGCATCTCCCTGTCCCTTGTCAGTGGAACTACGTCACCCAAGTCCCTTCCTCGGGGAGGGAGGAGGGCGGCAGCGTGGTGAGCGCGGCCGTCCCGCAGACCACCCCCACGTCGGTCAAGAGGAAGCCCACCAGGAGCATGTCCATCACGAAATTCATGAAAAGGCCTCGGGATGCCGAACAGGTGAGTTCCTGTCGTGGCATTCTGCCCCTCTAAGGAACGATGGGGATGGAGCCACGTGTCTTCAGTAGATGAGTCCCCCAGCAGGCCTCCTGGATGAGCAGAGTCTAAATATTAAGCTACAGACACCATCATTCACACAAAAAGATGGTTTTTTTGTGGGGAAAGAAGTCAAGTTCTGTGCCTCTAAAGAAATGGGTTTCTTTTGTGCCTCCCAAGCTTGGCCTGCGTTCCACTCGAAGCGTTCTGCCACTTTTCTGCTATTTGGTGGTGACTGCAGCCAAGCTGGGAATAGTTTCGGAGCGTCTGCTTGGCCTTGGTTTTCCAGCTGTGTATCATCTGTGCGCAGGTTTTTACGTGTGTGTGCGGCTGCCAGATGTGTAGCCGGGGCTGGTGACTTGCACCACTGTGCACGTGGGCTGATGAAATGCGGTTCCAAAGTGCTGCAGCTCAACCTGTAATAGCCTGTAAAGTCTCTGGCTTATCCTGTTGTAACACAAAGCTGAATTTCAAGAGCTGGATTAAAACCAGAATAATTCCCAGGAACCAAAATGAGATAGGGTTTTGGAGGAGTTGCTACTCCAGCTCGTAAGCTTTGTTGTGGTCTTCCTGGTGTTCGCTTCTGCTGTTCAGGGCAACCACAGGGAATATTAAGAGCTTAATCATCCAAAAGGATGACCAAAAAGTATGTGATCGGTGCTTTAGCTGTGTGATGCCCCATCTCGTGTTTAAAACGGTGAGGCTTTAGGTCCTGAAGCTTCGTGTTAGCGACTGGCTGCTTCCAAACCTTACAGCTAGGACAGGCTTTGCGCTGGGACGGGAATTATTCCTCATCCCTGTTGACGAGAGGCTGAGGAAAGAAGCCACAGACAAGGCTTTTTATGCTTTTTCCTTCCCACTTTATTCTTGGCTTTGGCTTTTCTACTGAAAAAGCTCCGCATTCAAGTATTGATGGGGATCAGAGACTTGAAGCTGCTCAGCCCCCAAGCTCCATCTGCTAGGGTTTTGGTTGGTTTTTTTTTTCCTTACCTACTAAATAAAGGCAAAGATAAAAATCTGTGCTTGGCACCCGCTGGAAATTTTGCTTATACCCAACTACTCGCACAGAAACAGTGAAACAAAGGCTTTTAGTAAAATAATGTTGCTGGCCTGAATTCTTCAGAGCTCTCGAAAGCATCTGACGGCTGCCCCGGTCGAAGCGCAGCGCCCTGTGGCTCGGAGCAGAAGTGTCAGAGCCCCGAAAGCTTTTGGTGCCTGTTGTCTGCATCGGGTGTTGAGGTGCCATCCTCGCTGTCGAGCGAGGTTGGAGCTTGGGGAGAGCCTCGGAGCCGCTGGTAGGTCGAGGCCGGCGTGGAAGTCGAGGTGCTCTTACATAAGCTGCGGAGAGAGAAGAGCTCGGTATCGAAGTGGGCAGTACCTGCGTGCGTGTGGGAGGGGAGTACTTAATCTGAGAAGTGTGACTTTAATGAAAGATGTAAAATTAAAATTTCTCCTGGAACAGCTTGTAGGGGGCGGGGACCAGGTTCTAGGTCTGAGATTTTTCATTCCGCGGTTCCAGTTGAGGCAGGGGGGGAGGAGGGGGAAATAAACACCCCGAAACACTCGCAGCTGTTCGATGCTGAGCAACTCCAGTTTGTGTTTCTCCTTGTGTTCATTTTCTCGATTGAAAATGAGCAGTTCGTGCTGCTCCCGTGGCAGCAAATAGGTCACCAAGTGCCGAATTGTCACCCCTCCCTGAATAAAAGCGAATTGGCAAAGATGAGGAGGATTCGGGGGGAGGACACGCTTCAAACTTAACAAGCAAAAGTCATTTTCTGTCTTGAAGAAAGCATCCAAAATAGTCAGCAGAGGGGGGAAGAGATTTCCCGTCCAAAAAACCAACAAAACTGAGTCAGTTTTCAATTAAGGCTCGAACTGAGTTTTCGATGTGTAGGCTGCTCATCGCGTTGTGTAATAGCGAAACATCTTGGAGCAGAAACTTGGCGTGCTTCCTGCTCTCTGTGCCATTGCAGAGGAGGCCTTTTTATCAAAAGTTAACGTCTGGTAGAGCCCAGGGGCTGCTTGTTTTTCTTCCCTGCACATATGCCCGACTGATCCGCTCGGGCTGCGAGTCCAAAGCGTGAGGAGCGCTCGCCGTCATCCTTTGTGGCGCTGCCCGGGCTTGGTCTGGCACATCAGCGGCTGATACCTTGTTGGTTTTTTTTTTTTTCTTTTCCTAAAGGCTGAAGCTGCAGAGATGGATGGATTTCAGGCAGACACCGAGGAAGATGAGGAAGACGATGACTGCATGATTGTGGATGTACAGCCAGGCAAAGGTGGGACAATAAATCGCTAGCGGTCCCTCGCAGACGCTCCTGTAAGGGAGAGGACGGCGTGTGGCTAAACCTGCTGCAGTTTTTCCACCACTTTTTCACCAAGCCTTTTGCTCTTTGTAGATATTTTATTCTAGGTGCTTCTCTGCTTTTTAGCTTTTATTCTAGGTGCTGCTTTTTTTTTTTTTAGGGTCTTCTCTAACCTGCTTTTGCCCTTTCTTCCCTCCTCCCTCCAGTCAACTATTTAATAGCACAAAGAGCTGTGACTGGCATTTGGCTGCCAGCGTTGCCCTTTCTTTTCCCCCTGGTAAGAGAAGTGAACGTTGGGGTCAGTATCGGCAGCGCCGCTGACCGTTGGCAAACGTTACTGAGCAGGGCTGGGGTCTGGGGCGTGCGTACTCGTGTGCAGAGCCCCTCCAGGACTGACAGGGTCTGGATCATAACTCCCTTCTGCTGCCTTCTTGAAGTCGTAGGTACACGCTGAGTTGTCAGAAGGCTGTAGCATCAGATAATAACCAAGCTCTCAGACGTTTGACAGGTGAGGGCTCTGATCACTTTGCTCTAGAATCCAAGCAGTTGCTTGTATTTGTGTCCCAGTTATCCCTCTTTCAAAGCCCCGCTGCTGTGGCAGATCCTTTCAGGCTCCTGATTCGGAAACGGCGGGACGAGGCCGGGGAGTGGCTCCTTTCATCTCCGGGAGGTTTTAACGAGACATCCTCGAGCTCACAGCTCAGTGACTGAACACCAACCATGCCATGTGCCTTCTGCTCCTCTAAACCGCTTTCAGAACCTCCCGAGTCCTTTCCTACCACTCTCGCGATAGAACTCCTTCACCGTGCTACGGGCACAACCTGAAGGATGGGCAGTGGGGTTTTGTGTTGGGCAGCCCCTAGAGCCGTGAATTCCACAGCGTGTTTGACCCTCTCCAGACCCACCTGGCTTCTCTTTTCCATCTCAGCTGGAGCTATGTGCTTCCTTTCGCCTTCCAGAGCAGACAATAACTGCTTGACAAGAAGCTTTGCATTTAATCTTGAGCTGCTTTCGCTTATTAGGAGACGGCAGCGAGATGAAAGCTTTGCTTCAGGTTTGTAACCTCCTGTTCTGAGAAGGCGGGGACGCTGTTCCCTCCTTTACCTTCCCCGGGCTCTGTTGACGTACGTGCAGCTGTATTTGTTTAACTCGGCCCGAGTCTAAAGCGCTGAAAAGATGATGAAGATCCTTTGTACGGTCAAAGTAATTTTTATTCTGGGTCGATGTTAACCCAGTATGAAATCCCATTTTTAAATAGTATCGAAAAGGAGACTTGCAGAGGATATGGGCAGACGAGCTAAGAGAGGTAAAGCATCTAGGAGGCAGATTCTATTAGATTAATGAGGATGTTTTAAAAACAAATCAAACACCAAAAAAAAACCCACCCGATCTCAACACCTTCTCTACTTTGCAGGTTCTATGTTGGCCGTTCCTGAAACAGCTTCAGAATCCAGCGGTACAAGAGCTGCTCGCCGGGACGCCAGCATGGTCAGCCCATCTAATACAGTTTGAGACTTAAATGCCTACTAACTTCTCTCTGTATGTATGTAGAATGAGTTAGAAAATTTTAAAGCTTGTGTATCTTTGAACAAGATACTCGAAAGTATTCCGTATTTCTTGTAAAGAGAAGACAGCACTTTGTTCTGCTTCAGACCAGATGGAAGCTTGAATTTTTAGATCTAGCTTTTAGCTTTAAAAAGAAAAAAAAAACCTGCATATTAATCTGTTCTTAATAAAGCATTATTGAAATTTTGATATTTCTTTGTAATGGAAGGTATCTTAAGTTATCTCTAAAAACTAGTTGGAGGGATTTCGAAATAAGCTTATTGTGACACCACTGGGGGAATTACTCTGTTCATAATGTTGTATAGCATGGCCGTGGGTATAAATGATGTACAATTATATTTGAATTTATGCTCTCTCTATCATCCTGTTTGTGGTTTTCCTTGCTCCAGCGAGCAGCAGCAGGGCTTCACCGTTGGATTAAAAAAATGTGCCTTGTTTTGCCTGATTTGGGATAGGCCGGTGTTAATTACGCATCGGGGTAGAGTATATGGCCTGTGAGTTGATGATTAGATCCCTAAAATACTGGCTTCATCTCTCACCGGTGGGCACCATCAATAGCTGCTGCCTCTCATCAGTCCCCTGGTGTGTGAACTGGAAAAAATGGGCACCAGTAACACCAGCATCAGCCCCCAGCTCTGACTGGAGCTCGTCTGCGTTTCAAACCTCTAAATGCAAATAACTTCGAGTGGAACTGAGGCTTTAAACATTTCATTTAATCAGCCTAAGTGTCATTTTATCTAAATATATTCTCTCCAATAGGAGTTACAGTGCACACAGAAGCAAAAGGAAAAGCTGAGTTCTCAGCCCAGCCCGATCCATTGGTCACCCAGCCTAGTCCCAGCACCTCATCCCTCCTCCAAGGGAAGAGAGTGGTGCTTCCTCCTCCTCCTCTGGGGAAGACCTCAAGCAGTCACTGCTAGAACTTGGTTTTTAAAGCCATTCAGGGCAGCCCTGCAAGTGTCTCACTGGGCAGGGCTGCCTCGGGGTGTGGCCGCTGGCGTTGCGCAGGTGACCGCAGAGCAGGCGCAACGTGGCAGAGTCTAGACTCTCACTCTAGAGCTAAAACAGTCCTGTCTGAGGTCACGTAGCTGGAAGCCCCAGCAGCCTACGGGAAAGTGAGGGAACAGTCTAAAACCACCAGCACTGAATCCGCTCCCCTTTATTTCATGACAGAGTCTGGACTCTGGAGAGAAGTTCTGGTTTCAGGGCGCTTGCTGGCTGCTCCTCTCCCACCGCCTGGATGTCTGCCATGACTGCTGCGTCCCAGGCCAGCGTCAGGAGGGCAGAGGGCACCTGGGACAGAAAAGGCAGAGGTTTGAAGCTAGAGTCATGTTCTGCTTTGACATCATAACATGCTGCGTTAGTTCACGGACTTGGAGAAGCTTAGGAGCACTTCAGGTAAAAAGGCCCAGTGTGGATTTCTGCAAGGAGCCGCTGAGGGGACACAGCTTCGCGCTTTCTGGCAGGAGCCTTGTGCTAGAGCTGCGCTCGCCTCAGTTGTCACCTTCCCTCTTTTCCCACCGTGGATGGTGACCCTCTGACAGAGCTGCTGACAGCTCCTGCACCTGCAGGAGGTAGCTCCTTCCTGACACGCATCCTTGCCTTGAGCCAGAAGGCTTCAAAGCAGTTACTTTTCTGCTCAAGTTTAAAAAGAAGGGGCCAGAGCAAACTCCTAGTTTGTGTCTACAAACTTCTTGAGCGAGCAGCAGATGACTCCTGGCAACCTGAAGACCCTGATGGAAAGGCAGAAAGATGCCGGCTTTCTTCTTTTACTCACCAGCCCGCATTCATTGAAGGGCAAATTCTCATCAGTCAGTTTGAGACCTCCAGGTCCCAAGAGCTCAAAGGGCAGCCAGTCGTCTCTGAGCGCTTCCCTCACAAAGCTGTAGAGCACAGATACTGACTCTCGTGCATAAAAAGTCCCTGCCACGAGAAAACAAGGTGAGATATTTAAGAGAGCCTGGCATTTTACCAAATCTAACCTTTTTGTGGTAGGTTTCGTGGGGCTCACGTACTGACGCTAACTTTATGAACTACTTCAGTGACACAGAAACAGCCCCGTTCAGCTGGGCAGTACAAAAGCAGAATCCCCAAAGGAAAATAGTACTTCAATTGCTGCAAGCCCCTGCCAGCCTGTAACAAAGAGTTGGGAAAGCCTGAAATGATTTCCAGAGTTCTCTTGCAAAATGTGAAGAGGATTGATACTGTTGTGTAGCCTGACACCGCCACAGGCCGCCTCATGCTGGTTACTCTAACGAACCGAGCTAATGAGTCCAGCTTGCTGGCACTAGCCTGGGAAGAGCGCACTAATTAGCGGCACCTTGAGATTCTTCCCTCTCTGCTCAGCCCCGGCTTACGATCGCAACCCTGTGCAGGGAGAGGGCTCGGAAATGGGAAGAGTTCTTAAGAGAAATGTTGCCCCTGCTCTGGTTTTCGTAGCTTTTATCGCACCCGCTGTGTTGAGCGCACCTCAAACCTGCTTAGTATTGGAGCTCTCACGCTACGAACCTTCTCAGAAGCTTTTAGGAGCGTACAAAGAAAGGATGAGAAGTTTTTTACCTTGGAGGATGTAGCCGTCGGGAAACCGGACTCGCACCAGGGTGTAGTTGTATTTTCGCATCTCCCTTTGTTCTTCTTTCTCTCGCATGGCTCTTGTCCTCAGCATCGAAGCCTTTTCCACCGCTTCTGTCCTTTAGAGAGAAAGCAATTTTTAGCCTGAAGGAGAGGTACAAGGCTCCCAGCCGGCATCGCGTGCGCCCCAGGCAGTCAGGGCCCTCCTTCTCCTCCTCCTAAGCTCATTCACCGGAGCCGTTGCTCTCGTTTGATCTCTTCTGCCGTGAGGTTGTAAAAGTCATTTGGCAGCTCGAACCGAGCAGCTTCGGGTGATGGTTTGAAGACGCAGAGCTGGCGATCCAGCTGGGCTCTCACAGGCTCAGCGCTTAAAAGCTGCTCTTTGTAGTCCTTGAGGTCTTCCAGCTTGGTCAGCATTTCCTCCTTCAGTACGTAGTACTCCTCTGTGGTCTCTACAACCAAAAGAACAGGATCTGAGCCTCTTGCTCTTTACGTGAGTAAGGTGGGAAACGTAAGGGCGAAGGTCTCCAGAAAATGTAACGCTTTAACAGGGGAACTGAGTGGCTGTTTCTGTTACAGCTGGGGAGGAACAGCCATTGGAGCTCTCAGCAACCAGAGCTGCCTCCCCTGGGATGTCCCACCACCGCTCGAGCTCCTGACTCGCTCAATAGACTTAAATTTCTTGCCTTGTCCTGGAACAGGCAGTGTTTTTGTCTCAAACCCAATAGCCTGGAAAAATCGATGTATCCCTTCCAGGCAGCTTATCCTTTCCTGGAAGAAAAAGAAAGAATTTAGATGTAGTCTGCTCCAGGCAAGGTCTTTCCTAAGCAGAGCACCCGCAGGAGCCTTGTTCTCACCTGAAACACTTTGTTCTGCAGTTTGATTTTTCGGTATTTCTCCTCCTCTGGATGGAGATAGATGTTATCCAAGTATCTGCAGAAAGAGGAATGAGCTACGTGGATCAAAGGAGGCACTTCAGGACACGAAAAGACTGACATACAGTATTTCTCTCAGATAAGAGAGCTGAGAAACTAAGGAAAGGTAAAACACATCAGTGTTTCTTGCCCAGGCCAGGCAGAAGATGGAGGCGGCAGCTCCCAAACCTCTTGGACTAGTGGACCAGCTCTCAAAACTTCTCTGAGATGCTGACCTCATTTCAACAGACACTTAAGGTGGTTCAAGTGCTCAGCTTTGGTTTTCTTCGGAGCACAGCAAGAAAATCCACCTGCCTGTTGGCCTCACAGGGAAAGGGACAAGCTCACCGCGTGCTCGGTCCTACAAACGCCACCCGCTTACTTGGCCATGGTCTCCACGCCCACTCGTACTTTCTCGCGGTCCTTATTGAAGGTGTGAATCTCCATGATGGAGGCAGCCACCGGGTCTACGGAGAAATACTGGGGGAGAAGGAGAGAAGCTGCTCAGGGGGGAGCTGATGCTGCTCTGCACAAAGGGAGATGTGGGTTGGTCCTGGGAGAACCCCAGCCATGCTTGTTCCCTCCACAGTGGGACAGGGAAGAGAACTGGGAGGATAAAATTGTGGCGAAAAAACACAAGTGAAGACAATTTCATTAAGCTGTGCATGCAAGCAACGGAATTTATTCGCTACTTCTCCATTTAGCTGTTTCCAAGGTGTAATCAACACTTTTCATCACAAATCCAAACCACGCTGCTATGAAGAAAATTAACTCTGTCCCAGCCAAAACCAGTACAGGGCCAGAGTTCCCAGTTCTGGCACTTCCAACAAGCCAAAAGGAGGGTGCTCGGGCAGGCTACAGCAGAAAAGAGCTGCCCTTTGGATTTTACAGGGAGAGGACAGGAGGTTGGAGAGGTCACTGCTCAAGGGGACCCACAGAATGAGATGAAACTGGAGCTGGGGAAGCTGCCCTTAGGGATGGGACGGCACTTACTGACTCGATGGCTTCTCGGAGATGCTTTTCCTTCTTGTCTTTCCTTACAACCACACCGGTCAACGGGCAAACGAAATAGACCCCTGAAACAGAGAGGGCAGCAGCCCCTTCCTTGGCTGGGGAGGCAAAGTCCTAAAGGAGACAAAACCAGGCGCCAAGCTGAATGCAGGACGGTTTTGTGGGTGGTTTTGTTTTTTAAGTACCCCCGCAGGGAGCAGAAGAGCGCTGATGAGGGGACAGGGGCATCTCTAGTACCTCTTCCTCTGCCGAGAGCCCTTTCTCGCTGGCGGCGGCCTCAGCCATCAGCTCCTTCCTCACTAGGAGAGACAAACCCAGGCTGAAGCGGCAGAGGCTTGGCAGATTTGAGACCCCACCGCATCGCCCTGGGGCACCCAACCCCTGCCTGGGTGCCCCATCCTTGGTCTGACACCCCACGGGGGAGCATGGCCCCCCATTTCAACGACCCTCAGAAGCCTGGGGCACCCCGTGACGCCCTCAAGAGCTGCACCCCGACCTGGGATCTCCCTCCCAGGCTCAATTTGGAGCTTTGGCTGCCCCATTGAGCGGCTGCCTGGCGTCCCACGGCAAACCCGTACCCTGGCTCTTGATGGCGTCCTGCGAGGAGGCCA